ATGCCCGAACTGTACGCCGTAGTCGCAAGACCAATAAAAAGCGTCATCAAATTCAGCATCGTGGTGATGCTACGCTTGTACCAAGGGTTCCAGTTAAAAGGATTTTCCTTGTCGCCAGTCGCGAAACTCAAGACAATGTATTCTTTGCCTTCGTGGTTGACCATCTCGGTCAGTGTAAGAGGCATGTCGCAATCCACGCGCTTGATGGGCCCACAAGCAGAATCAATGTCCTCGACATCGTCTGTGAGATGTTTTCCACCAGCAATCCTCCCGATCATAAGCTCACCCTTTTCATTGCGAAGAATCTCAGAGTTCATAGAGACATTGTCTTCGTTCGCGAGCTTACTATTCACTCTTGACAAGAAAGCAGGTGTAGAGGTGCCGGTGTGAGGAGCGGTGTTGGCGGCAGTGTTGGCAGCCGTCTGGGCAGCAGTGGAACCGTCGATCGTATAAGGGATGGAGCCGTTTCGGGGTGTAGTTATCGATCCATTTCGAGGTGTGACTGGCGCACTTTGAGCGACTCGGTAGGATGAGTTCGCTCTTGATGCTGCTAGCGACGGTGGTCGGGAAGATTTGTTGTAAAAGGATGGACCGTAGTAGCCGGACATGTTGGCGAGAATTTGGGGAGAATTGTGCTGAGGAAAGCGGGAGAGAAGGACGCGGGTGAGCACGATAATAAGGGATGGTCACGACAGACCCAGGACTAAAACGGAGACACAAACATTTCAACTTATCGATGCCGGCGAGGTACCGGCATGATAGGAAAGCAGAGGAAGTATGGGCTAACAGTCATCTCACCAATGCCAGTGACCGTAAACGCCCGATAAACAGGATGAGAGCAGGATGCGAGAGCAAAGAGGCACCCATGCAGTCTCACCTTCAACGTCATATCGTCTGTGCACAGCTACGAACAAGACCTCTATCGTCGTGGCCAGGTGAACAATCGGGCGAAAATCTGATATCCGCAACGTGTGCCGCCACTATGCGCTCTAGCGTTTGGAATCGGACGAAGAGTTTGGTGTTGAGGCTCTGCGGGACTCCACTTAGCGTGCGGATCAGTCGGTAGATTTGCGGCATGACGTCGTGCGTGGGTATCGTGAGCCCATAATTTGCATGCATTTGGATAGGTTCTAGGATTGGGCACAGTAGCCGTAAAGGCCCGAGCACATGCCTGCCAGCGGCGTATATGTGGTCTGATCGAGATGTTCCTCGAGGATACTCCGCCCACGTCAGTGATCTAGGACCCATGCCAAGAGCAACATCTTTGCCATCTCGAACACAAGGAATGTTCACCGAGTTTGAACCTTGTCCGATTATCAATCGTAGAAAGAGAAACGATATGAATTATACTTTCGCCACACGCCAGGCCACATGTAAGAATCGCAGACTTTCATGTCCTCGTGGCTGATTTCTGTCAACACATATTCTTTTGTCAGTATGTATGGGATAGAATGCAGGGTCCGATATTTGCCTCCGGTAGTCCGCACTTATTGATACTCCAAAGCGACACATGTCTGTCGCGCAGGTTCACTTGGTGCAGGATAACAGAAGGACATTTACTCGGGCAGTCAGTCTTGCCAAACACTTGAACTGACTTCCTGAGTACATGTCGCGCTGCAACGTCATAGAAGAGTGTGGTTATGCTGACGAGTCCCCTAGCAAAGTTAAATTCGTGAAAATATTTTGACGGCGATTAGCGCAATCTCCGTCGAGCGACGTAAGATGTCAAGGATGGTCAGCTGAGAACATTGGTCAGACTATTAGCGAACAGTTTCTCACTACATGTTATAAACAACGGTAACCGATGCTTGGCATGTGCAAACGAAGAAGAACCTCAAGTTGCTTGTATCACATTGGTATCAGGCAACGCCAGGTAAGCGATGAGCATTGTCGGTACAATTACTGCTTTTTCCTTGTCGCGCAGTGGTCTGCTTGGTCATGAAGGTGCCATTGTTTTGTATGAATTCCTGATAAACCCATGATCGTTATGAGATCGGCATCCGAATGCTGCATTTGAGCAATGTCATCGGACCATGATTGCCGATGCAGAGAAAACGCTCGAAGAACTCCACCCTAGTGCCCAATGTTCCCTTAAACCTCAGCAATCTCTCGGAGACGGCGGATCGTTGACCTTGTGGCGGCGGCAGCGGGAGTACTGTTAACCTTGTTAGTAATGTCCTGATTTTTTTTTTCGCGCGCGTCCAATCCTTGGATGATGTTGCGCTCGGGGGTATCGAGGGATGTCTTACGAGACGGTGTAGGCTCCTCCGGCAGTGGTCTTGCGGCACGATCGGCAGTGCCAGATACCAACGGACTCGCGCTTGACAGAGTTCTTTCCGCAGAACTGACAGACGTAGCGGGCGTGTTGTGCGATCTATCCTGAGCGTGAGCGACTCATTTCTGCTGGCAGTGTGGAGTATCCAGGGTAATGCGCACCTCCATCTTCTTGACCTGCTTACGGAGAGAGGCACCGTAACGGGTACCGTACTTTCCGGTGATGCCGACCTTCTTTGTGCCTACATGGCCGTCAATAATTAATTCCTTGGAAACCGTAGGGCATACGCACGCTTCGTCATTTTGGCGGTTGTGTTTGATAGACGATGAGGAGTGGTCGAAGCTGGTAAGTACAAGCAGGAGATGGTGGGCGGCTCGAAATTCTAAGCGAGGTGCCACGTGATGCGGCCCTGGAAGAACTAGTGTCCGGTCACCTTCGAGAACCATGGCGAAAGCGCGAACGCGGTTTTCGATCATCCCTCACATACAAGGTTATTTACTAGGAACACCCTTCCATATTTTGCATCGAGTCAACTATTCATCATGCCTTGAATTCGGGGGTGTTGTCTTTTGCATGTTATCCAGCAGAGTCACCTATCCGGCCCCCGTGTGGTTGCCAAGCCTTTAGCAACACCAAACCATCGTTACTCGTCCAGCTCTCATCAAGTTTCATGAACATGAACGCGAGGCAGCGTACTGCCTGAACGCAGTATCAGACAATTTGTGTGGCGCTATGCCCTAGGTACTTACTCAGGTCCATGCCCAGATGTCAACGTGTACAACGAGGCTTGAAATCTGGGCAACCCACATCTTGTCACAGCTTTCGTTGTCCATCGCCTGTTTTGTACCTTACAAGCGCCCTTGGGGCTTGGCTCCTAGAATTAGAAAAGGCGCAGTTATGTAAATATTGCTATAGTCAGGCTACAAAATGTTCGCGAGCGTATGGTAGCCGTCAGCTGAAACGGCCTTGAAACCGAAACAGTTGACAAGCACCCCAAGGCGCCCACAGACCACGGAGTAGGCATCTGCCGAGACTCTATGCGCTTGCCGTCTGAAGACGAATGGATCTGCAATGCTGCTCTCTACTTTGATCAGGTTTTAGTGGAATCCTGCGACTATTTTCCGGGGTTGGCATGCGTTGAACAGCCTGGGGCGGAACATTTGGCGTAGATCATATTACTCCTCGCTGTTTGTGCGTATAGAGCCTTGTTCATATAGAGGTCGCTGAGGATGTATATATAACCTGGGGCTGCAAGTCACTTTGCAAAAACGACAGGCTCCATATCAACTCTAAGCAGTGCTTAAGTGTTTTTGTTTTCATTCTGTTCTTCTCATATCACTCATATCCACCTTATACTTTGTAATTTACACATCATGGCTTCTCGCTATTACTGGAAGGTGGTGGCCCTGGTGGCCTTTGTATCGCAAACGGCTGCACAAGGCGGCAGTGTCATACCCCAAGATCTACAGGCTGGGTTCGGCAGTGACGAAGTCCAAGTTAGCTACACCAACCAAGCGATCAATGGTTTCAAAGATGGAACAACTTTTGAAAAAGACGGTTAGTAGTCAGTGAAGACTTTTCGGACGAACCAACAGCTCACACCCATCTAGCTGTAGCAAAAGAACCCACGTTTGCTCTGGGCGACAGCAACGGCATTTCCCCAACTACATTATACACCATCATCATGGTGGATACAACATGTACCAACGCCCGTAAACTACACTATGCGCGCGCGAACTTCAAGAATAACTTCGATATCACCAACATCGCCACCGATACCCCGCCAGCCGTTGATTACGTTGCCCCAGGCTCTGTGGGCGAGACAGGCGACAACAGACAGTACACGTTTTTGATGTTCACCAACCCCGGAAGGAGGCAAATCACCGATTTGAAAGTTCCAGGAGAAAACGAGGCATTTGATATCAAGAAGTTCCAGGACGACAATGGGTTCCGGGATGCGATGGCGGGTGTAGGAATGGTAGTGAAGCTCGGAGGCGAGGCGAACTGCGAAGGTGGAGATGCAAATCCATTGCCCGATAATCTTCCATCCGCTGCACCGGCAAGCAGTGCAGCAGGCAGTGCGACTAGTGCTGCAGCGAGCCCAACAGGCACGCCCAGTGCGGGAACACCTTCAAGTACTGCCTCGCGTGCTCCGGTCGCGTCGGCTTCGCCTTCTTCAACTCCGGGTGGCTCTGGGGGACAGAACAACGGTTCATCTGGCTCACGACCGAGCCCTTCAGGAGCACCAGCAAGCTCAGGCGTCTCTTCGCCTGTGGCTCTTCCTTCCCAGGCACCAGCACCATCAAGCATTGCTACTGTTCCTGTATCGAACGTAGGTGGGGAGGCGGGTACTAGCGCATCATCGACTGCTAGTCCGGCTGAGCAAACCGCGAATGCTGCAGCAGGAAGTTTCGGAAGTCAGAATTTGGGTGTCACTTTGTTGGCTATGGCTCTTGGTTTCTTTGTCAGATAAATAAGGGTGTCGATTATGTTCAAAAGCTGGGTGTCTCTCTCATAGAGCTGGATATGTACAAACATTATACATGTAATAAGATATAATAATCTTAACTATAATGTACACTTGATTGATGTAAACAACTCATCGCAAGGGCTTCCTACAAAAGCGCGTTGCACTGACCCAATATGAATTGATATATGTATGTCTCAACATTCTGTTTCCGATGAACTGTAAATGACCCATTCACTATGCACAAAACCCCTCAAACTACTCCTTGATAGCTTGAGCATAGCTCTTGTCCAGCTCGCCATGCCGCTTGACCAGCTCACCAACAACAAAAGGGATACAATCTTTGGGACTGTAGTATTTCAAATCAAACTTGTCCCACTCTCCGGCATCTCTCAGGTATTCCAATGTGTGTCGCTGGAGTTCGCATCCGCCCATGAAGAAAGGCCAGCCAATGATAGTGTACACTAGCTGCATGAAGCGCGCCGCGACACTACCCTGAGTTCTCCATGGATTGGCGACATGTTCGCAGATTAGCATTCGGCCGCCAGGTTTGAGAAGATTGTAGAGACCCTTGATGGTCTGTTCTGGATGAGGTACACTGCAAAGTACGCGTGTGCAGCAAATCTCATCAAACACACCATCAGACGCCAAGCCTCCTTTTCCACTAACATTCAAAATGCCACTCTTGTGCAGTGCAGGAATCAGGCTTTCAGGCTCAGCACCGCAGAGCAGAGCATGGTATTTGCTCCCTAGGCCGCTTTTTTCGGCATTTTTCCGAAGTCCCGGATGTAAGTCCTCGGTGGGCTCAGCGCCGTAGATTGCGACGATGAGATTCGGGTCGAAGCGAGACAGTACTTCTCCCGAGCCAGGGCCAACATCTAGAATCACGCCTTTGCACTGAGACAGGAGTTCAAAAGTAGGGCCGGGCATCTCGGTGGACATTGCTTCACCATTGTGCTTCCAAAGGCGGGCGAAGGCTTTGGACCGCAGTTTGTTGATATTGAATAGAGTGAAGGGGCTCCACTCATAGAAGACTACTTCGAACATCGTTATGACAAAATCTGTGCCGCTGTCAGAACTTGTTGACTGGAGATAGAATATGGTGGTATGTCGTACGATATGCTGATATGCACAAGAGTATAGATGGGCGGAGAAGGGTAGGGATAACTTTTCCCAACCAATCTGCGGACGTCATGATGGCGCTCTGTGGATGTGTGATAGAAATGATAGTGAGGAAGATAGGAAAACGCTGATGTTCAGATAGGCTCTTCGGAACTAGGTCTTCGTTCGGCTGTATTATCTGACTAAATAACACAGCAATTGATAAAAAACTAATATGTAGAAAGAAGGACGGGAATTCACATGTTTTGTGCGAAGATGGCTAGCAACGATTAGTCAGGCATTAGCACTAGCAAGATAGCATAGCAGTTCAGGACGCGAAAGTGCTTGTGAAGAAAGAAGTCCGCGGACGTGCGGCGATGACGTCGACGCGCTGTGGACAGAACGGCCGAAAAGTGGGACTAGAGCAGATGAGAGTTCTGGAACGCTATCACGGTCTGACGCACACAAACATACCTTTGCAAGACGACCAAACCCCCAGGTAAAATATGGCTGGAAACACGAGGCCGCAGTATGCGCTGATCACAGGGTATGTGACACTGCAGCAATTCATCCTTTTCCTTGCGTGCGCGAACGAGAGAAAATAGCAATGCTGACGCGAACAGATGCACGCCCGGTGGCATTGGACACTACCTCGCCCTGGAATTCGCTCAGAGGGGTATGCCAAGCATTCCAAATGTATCCTTACGCATATACGTATATACGCATCCACAACCCAACGCTGACGACCAAAAAAAGGCTTCCACGTGCTAGGCACCGTCCGCGATCCCGCCAAATACCCTTCCCCCGACCCCCGGATAACCTATCTACCCCTAGAACTCACCAGCAACGAGTCCATTGCGTCCCTCCACAAACGCGTGACCGAAATCACCGGAGGTAAACTCGACATCCTCTACAACAACGCAGGCCGCAATTATGTTGTGCCCGCGCTGGACTACGACGAGGCCGAGCTACACGAGCTCTTCCAAGCGAATCTCTTCTCCCTCATGAAGATGTGCAGCACTTTCGCTCCACTCCTGATAGAAGCAAAAGGCACAATCGTCCAGACGGGATCGCTGGCAGGTATCATGCCGTATGTATGGGGGGCGCCGTACAATGCTGTCAAAGCGGCGCTGCACGCGTATTCCGACACTCTGCGCGTTGAACTTGCGCCGCTGGGCGTCCGTGTCATCACCGTCGTCACGGGCGGCGTGAAATCGAATATTGCGCGTCAAGATCGCACGCTACCGCCAGGCTCATATATGCAGCCGCTGGCGGCAGAGTACCAGCGAAGACTCAAGCACAGCCAGGAGCTCGGCATGGACACCAAGCAGTATGCCCACAGCTGTGTAAAACAGGTCCTCGCTGGCGACGGCTTGTTCCGAAAAACGAGATGGATATGGGAGGGCAAGATGAGCTGGATTGTATGGTTCGCGTGGACTTATCTGCCAACCGCAGCTCTGGATTTCTATTTCACAACGACATTCAACTTGAATAAGCTTCGAGGAACTGCCGGGCCGGATAAGAAGACCAACTAAAGATGCAACTAGATTATTGAGGATCAGCAAAATGACCAAGATGCCGTTTAATGAGCTGGAGCACGTATAGTCATGACAGTCCTGATGACCCATGGTCGCACACTTCCTTTTTCTGCTAATTATCACTTGGTAGAGAAGAATGATAATCTCCGAAGATACCCCAGCTCACACATATCTCTCAGTCTCAGAACGCACTTTTCCCGGATGTGGGGTAATCATTGTGACTATTGGCAACACACATCCAGCAACAATTGCGGCCAAGAGATCGGAAGACGATATGCAACCATGGAATGGCATCCATGGCGCTGATCCGTACCAGTTACTTAATAGACATTGGTGTGTTAGGACTTTCAAACAACCACGCCGCTAAACGGTGTGCGGCACAGCCTGGATGAAGGAAGGAAGGCTACCTAGAATCTCGACAAAGCACAACGCTGTTTTCCCTTTTCTCATAGAGAATGAGTGAATATGACATGTACCAACGCACGCGCCCCACTCCGATTTTGCTGCTACCTACTCGCAGCACCACAGGGTGGGATAATCTTGAGTAAGTTTAGAAGGGTTGTGTTGGACAAGGTGTGATTACGCAGGTACCCTTTTCTCCACACATACACACCTTGGCCAGATGGGGCTATGCTGCAACTATGCCACTTGTTTGGCCCGGATATTTGCATGTTGGCTACTATGGGAAAACTCAAGCACATGTTTCGTTAGACATGGATGGGGTGAATCCTCTGGGTCCCTCCGTGGCATTCCCATTGCTTCCTCCTGTTTCTTCTCCATGAGCCTCTGCCATGATGTGACAGCCTTCTCGCATTATTCTAATGTACAAACTCAATATCCGGCCGCCACCACGGCACCCGCTCCGCCCTTTGCTGTGCACATTTTCATCACACTGGAAAGCGATCTTGGTTATTGCGACCTTTATGCTCCTCGAAGTCCTCTTCCACATCCACAGCTTCACCATAACCCGCCCTTCACGCCCTCTAGACGCACCATTCCACACAGGCTTCCAAGACCCCGTGGCAAATATGACGGCGCGCAAAAACGCCGTCCTGCTTATGCTCGCCCGCAACTCGGAAGTTAGTGGCGCGGTAGACAGCGTCCGCAGCGTGCAGAAGCAGTTCAACGATCATTTCGGGTACCCGTGGATCTTTCTCAACGACAAGCCATGGAGTGAAGAGTTTAAAGAGAAGGTTAGCGAAGCAGTGCAAAACACATCCGCCGCAGGGCACGTGAGTGTGGAATTCAACACTATACCAAAGGACATGTGGAGGGTACCCTTCGTGGATCGACCAAGACCGTGCAAGACGCAACATGAAGGCCATGGAGGAAGACAAAATTCAATATGCCGCCCAAGAAGGATACCACCACATGTGTCGCTTTCAATCAGGGTACGTACACTCTTCAACCCTCCATCCCAACAACCCTCAACACCACAGAACCCCTCTTTCTAAAAACCCCCCTACCCAGCTTCTTCCACAAACACCCCTCCCTCCTCCGTTATAAATACTACTGGCGCGTCGAACCCTCCATCTTCTTCACCTGCGCCATCCCCTACGACCCCTTCGCCCACATGCGGCGCAACAAAAAACGCTACGCCTACACCATCGCCCTCTGAGAACGCGGCAAAACCGTGCCCTCCCTCTTCCGCAAACTCTCAGACTACAAGAACGCACACGCTATCCTCACATCTCCCTTGTGGACTGCACTGCACGACCCGAGTTTTGCTCCCTGGCCCTTGCGCCCCGCGCTGGCGTGGCTGCGAAATCGCAATGCCGAGAGCGATTTGTGGAACATGTGCCATTTTTGGTCCAATTTCGAAATTGGGGATTTGGACATTTTTAGAGGCGAGGAGTATACGCGGTTATTCGATTTCCTGGATCGTGAGGGTGGGTTTTATTATGAGCGGTT